ACTTCCGGTTCAAGGGTCAAACGGCGCCGTCGTCCAATCAGCGATGTCTCATGTTTCCCACTGGTACCTACCTTTTCCGGTAGGTTAATGTAATTGTCTTTTCCTTAATGTAGTTGCGCATTTAGATTTGTAGTTGCAGTTTGCACTTCAGGGCCACCGTATAAGGTCATATACAATGAGGAAAATAAGTATTTGAACGCCCTGCTATTTTGCAACTTCTTCCATTTAGAATTAATGTAGGGGTGTGAAATTTCCATGGTTAGGTGCATGTCCACATTATCTAAAAAATAAAATCCAGGAATCACAATATGTTACTCCTCTCAAGATAATCAAGGCTCAACGTCGTCCTTTTGGTTTAACAGCCATTTATTGTGGACACGTTTTATAAAGCCCCAAAAAATGCCGCCAGAACTAAAGAGGGAAACAGAAACCCAAATAAAAAGGTTTACACGAATAAATCCAAGTAAAAAAAAGTTGTACCTCATTGGCCGCATAAACTCAGGAGGAATAAAGATAACTTATACAGCTTTTCTCAGAAAACCAGTCTTAAAGCTTTCTGGTGAAACTTCTTGAAGAAACAGGTGCAAAAAAAAAAAAAGAATTGCGTCAATCAATCTTCGCATGGGCAACGACGTGACATGCGGAACAAAAAACAGGTTCCTCCTTACATTTTAATGAGCTTTTTAACCAACGTACACAAACGACATACATTTACTGAAAGTTATTTATTTATGATGGAACTTTTAATTTCAAAACTTGTATGTATCAACTCTTATTTTTAACTAATTATTAAAATATTTAAATATATACGCAATATATATTGTTAAACTATTTATTTGTACGGTAAAGCTACAAATAAGAATAAGAATTCTGACCCAGTATCTCTGCTTCCATCTCCTTGCATCATTAAATAGGTCATACGTAGAAGGGGGCCCTGCACTGGTCTGTTGTGGTGAAGAGAGAGCTGAGCCAAAAAGCAAAGCTCTGGATTTACCGGTCGATCTACGTTCCTACCCTCATCTATGGTCAGGAGCGTTGGGTCATGACCGAAAGAATGAGATCCCGGATCCAAGTGGCTGAAATGAGTTTTATGCTTTTTATGCTTATAAATAGCTTTATTATAATTATGCAGGGAGTATTACAGATTATATGGACACAGCAATGTAAGTAGAACAGGAAAGGAAAAACAGAAAAAAGGAGAAAAGACGAAGGAAAGAGGAGATAAAAGGGAGACAATGATAAAACATCTTCAGTCTGCTTCATCACCTGCAACCAACGGATATAAGATAACAGATACAATACTAAGACACACCCCTCCTCATCTGCATAATAAGGCAGAAATGTAAAAAACCACAGACAGAAATAAATAGCATGGAAGAAATAAACTGGGTGAAAAAATACAAAGGAAGAATAAAACAAAAATACCTCATGCACATAAATATTTAATAAAATAAGTAAAGTTTAAGATTATAAGGGACAATAAATAAGGTACTTATTACAAAGGTGAATAAATGAAGCTAATTAAGAGTTGTATACATTCATGTCTCACTATAATTTAATTTCTACCTACATTTATTTGTATATTGTATTTTTAGGGGCAATTAATTGTACTCTTATTTATTTATTGAGCATTTATTTCTGTATTTATTTTTAAATATGGGCAGAGTTGGTCCTCCATAGTTCAGACCCGAACCTGACATGTATTTTTTCATTGGCCCTAATCCGCTTCCTTAGGTTTTCACTCCTCCCTAATTCCACTTAACTGACGGCGAAGGGAAAACGACTCGACCCTTCGGAACCAACACGCGCCGCTGTTCCCGGACATAAAACATTTCGGCCAATCACCTCCCGCCTTGGCCTCGTTTATCCAATCAGAAGGGAGGTTGTTGGCATGGGGGCGGAGAATAAAATTACAAACCGTTCTCCTCAGTTTCTAGACACCTCGAAGATTTGTTGAAACATTGATCAGAGCTCGATGTTTAGAGATTATTATTGTCCGGACATTGAAGGTAAAAGTTTATTTGAATAGAAATTCTACATGATGTTGAATTTAATCCTTTTATCATAAAAACAAGGCTAATGTTTACTAGCTAACCACCTGTTGTTTAGAGCTCCTCTGTTTCTGTTAGCCTAGTTTACTTTAAGACAACTTTAAATCTTTTAATTAGGACCAAATATGAAGGAGTTAATCTGATATGAACTACAGTTAGACTGCAGGACAAAAACTAAGGTGAGTAAACTTTTAAAACTGATTTAAAGCTTTTGAGGTTTGTTTATATTGTTATATTTGTTATATTGTGATGGTAGAAAGACTCAGTTAAAGTCCAGAAAGTAAATATATTTGAGAATCTGCTGCAACACTTAAAAAAACTGATGCCTTTCTGAGCATTTTTAAAAAATCAGGATCATTAAAAAGCTGAGAGATAAAACCCAAAGACCTGTAGCTTTAAAAGCAGTGAAAATAAACCTTTTTTAAACAAGGTTTATTTTATTTTCAGTATCCAAATGTGCAATAAAAAATCTGGAATAAGTTGATATAAAAATAAAATGGATATAACCCAAAGTAAAAATAGAGTAAAATAAAAAAAATAAAAAAGATAGATAAATACAAAAAAAATAAAATAAAAAATAACTAGAAAAACG